TGAGTGAAAACTTGAAATCCGCTCGGGACTTGAAATACGACACATTGTTTGACTTCATTTGATAAGGTTTTTTAAAAATTGGTTTGAATTAAGTAACCACCTTTGAAACTGGGCATTATTACCAACAAAAACGAATCGGAATAACAAATGAAAGCAATAGGCGGCCGCAGCCAACTACGAGTAAGGTTAGCAACAGCAAATCCACCGGAACTGAGCGAATGCTGACCGCTGAGGTCAAGGGAACGTTTCGGATTCGCTTCCTCATACTACGAATTGTTTATTATGGTCCCAGGCAGAACATTTGTTCGCCTATTGTTGTTAATATGAGGCCCGTTTGCGACTTTTATCAACAGTTCCGATTGTTCGGACGAGGACATTGTGAGAGTAGGCATTTATATCCGAACAAGGGCCTTAAAGTCAGGGCCGCTCGTCGACAAAGGCGTGAATATGTGTGTCACACTCTCGTGCAGTGATTTACATTTTTCGAAGGTCGCAGAAAGGTCAATAAGAAAATAAATTGTTATAAGAAGAACTTATTAATAAGTACGTATTAAACACAAGGTGTCGCTTCTAGCAGGTGCAATATATGCCCTTTTAATAAAAGTAAACAAAAAATGTTAATTCATGTTTTGTATTATAGTCTGTTTGGAAATGAAAGAGAGTAATAAAACCCCCAGATAAGAACCGGCCATGGGCGTGGTAATATTTCGTTTCAGGTAATTATCGGGTAACACTAATGCTCACAAAAATGACAGGGATTGGAAAATCGACTATCTATAGACTTTTAAAGGAAACAAAAAATTAACAAGATACTGTAAATCCCCCAAAATCATATACAGGGAGGTCAAAAGTCGTTATAGATTCAAAAATGTCATTCGCAGAAAAATACACTCATTTTTTTTTAAAAAAGAATTACCAACGCTAAACAAAATTTTAAGTGAACTTTCAGAGGACAACGATTTGCCAAAAATCAGTAGAAGCAAATTATGGGCCGTCTTACGAGAGTTGAATTTTTGCTGGGAAAAGCAGAACAGGAAGTCAGTTCTTACCGATAAAGATGAAATTATTTGTTGGTGAAGATCCTACTTAAGATCAATTAGAAAATTCCGTGACGAAGGGAGGAATATTTATTATCTAGACGAAACTTGGGTCAACGAGGGATATACTGGAACAAAAGTATGGCAAGATAAAAATGTACAAAGTTTTCGACAAGCATTTTTGGATGGACTTTCAACAGGGTTCAAGGCACCTTCAGGTAAAGGGCGAAGATTAATAGTGACACATATAGGTAGTGCCAGTGGTTTTGTAGATGGCGGTTTACTTTTATTTGAATTTAAAAATACAGGTGACTATCATGAATACATGAACGCAGATGTTTTCGAAGAGTATTTTACACAGATGTTGGATCTTATTCCTCCGGGGTCTGTAATTGTCATGGATAATGCCAGTTATCATTCACGGTAGACCGAGCGGACGCCTACGACTGCTTGGAGGAAAGCCGATATAATTCAATGGTTATCCGGAAAAAACATTTCTTTTGAAACAAATATGGTGAAAAAGGAACTTTTGACACTTGTCAATCTTAATAAAAATATGTTATCGATGATATGGCAACAAATCGCCAAATAACGGTAATACGGTTACCACTGTGAACTTAACCCAATCGAATTAGTCTGGGCGCAGGTAAAAGGAGATGTAGCGCGAAATAATACGACGTTTAAATTAAGTGACGTGAAAATTTTGATAAAAAATTCCTTGGAACGAGTAACTGCAGATAACTGGCAAAGATGTGTACATCATGTACAAAAAGAAGAGGAGAAAATGTGGGAACTCGATAATTTAATTGACGTTACTGTGGAACCTATTGTTATCAATCTAGGAGACGAAGATAATTCATCGGAATATTCAGAGGATGAATTTTAATATACCTACTTTTTTATTTTCTTTATTGTACATTTATACAACACTACATTTACTCACCATAATTTGAATTTTCAAAATACATATATTTTTGTGTGGAAATAAAAGTCTATTCATTAAATTTAAATAAATATTTTGATAATAATATTGAATAATTTTATTTGAATTACTAAAAACCCTCTTAACCCGGTTATGATGTTTAAAGTAGCCTCATGTTTTGAAATGCTGTTTTTATAATGTTTACTTATAAGAGAAATGGACCGAGAAATTGAAGCGGCATAGACAAAGACGGATTGTCAGGGATTAAATTTTAGCTACCTGCTACAATTTAGTACAGTCCGATCGCACAAAGTTTTTTTAAAAGTACACCTCATCCTATACCGTAAATACATAATATAAAAATATTGAATATAAGCACCAGTACTACATTTATTTACGATTTGCATACATAATTTCTAAACAGACTATAGGACAAAAGTCTTGAAATTTTACTTGAAAAGTATACATCTGGCAACATTGCAATTGCAATATGGCGCCATTATATTCTAGGTCAAACTTTATCAAGCTTTAAAAAATATATCCAAGATACAATACTAAAGACTTCAACCTATTCTGTGGAAATTTTTATGTTTAAACTTTTTTTCTGGGAATTTCGTATTGTGTCCATCACTTTTTATAAAAAGTTTCAAAGCATGCCGCAAGTCACGTTCCTATACAAACATCAAAATATCGACATAATTAATGTGAATAATAATTAGGATGTCTTCAACAAACAGTTTTATGAATATTTATAGCTTATGAAGGTTGACAAAAACGCTACTGGTTGAGGTAGGACCAAAACAATGCATTTAAAAATAGTCGCGGGAAATTTTTCCACGAATTAAATTTCAAAACACTGAGAGCGATGACTAGAAATGTACATCTTTCGCGCCAGATCTGAATCTTATGGATATATATTAAATAATA